GAAAAAAAAAAAAATAAACTCGAAGGGGGAGAAAGAATTCTTAAAAATTGTTTAAAAAAAAAAAGTAATCACGTGTTACGGACATTTTAATTTTTTTATTTCATTGTAACAATTCATTATTTTTTTTTAAAAATTATTTTATTTTATTTTATTTTATTTTATTTTATTTTATTGTATTGTATTTTATTTTATTGTAAATATATATTTTGTTAGTTTAAAATAAAAAAAGGCTGGAACCTTACCGAATAACCGTACGGACAATTTTATTCCACAAATAAATCACAAAATAAAATTTCTTTAAATGAAACTTCACAATGCAATTGATATTTCAAGAAGTTTCCGAACCCTTAAGTTAATATAATAATGACAATCATTTCTTTATCAATTAAGGTAAATTAAATCTCCCTCATCTAATTTATTGTTCTTATTCTATAATTATCAAACAAGTAACTATTTTTACTATCATGTTAATAAAACCTGTAATCTATCCTGCAAGAAAGATATTTTAAAAACAGTCAATAAATAAATTTTATTTACATATATTTTTTAAGTATAATAAATAATTTTATTTATGTATTTAGAAATTCATTTATAATTAAAGAATACTTTTATGTATAAAGAAAGACATTTTGCAGTAAATAATGCGTGAAAAATGTGTGTGGGTAAAAAAAAATAATAATATACGCATAAAATAAGCATTTGCTTTTTAATAATAAATAATATTGTGATTCGGTTATCGTTTTATCCTTATGCTTACTAATTGAAGACAATGTGCACTTATTTAATTTAAACTTTTGGTAAAACTTTGCTGTCAAAAAAAAGTAATACCGATGATCGTTTCAAACGAAATGTTTAATATAAAATAATTTTTTTTTTTTTTGGTGTAACAAAAAAAAAGTTAAATTTATTAAAAAAAAATCGGAAAAATAGAATTTCGCTTTAAAAAGTTTACTCTTTTTTTTTTTTTACGCCTCAAATACATTCATTATGCAATGTGACAACATATTCAACAAATTAAATAGTATTAACTAATTATGGTAATTTTGTAATTCCGCATTTCCGATTTTGTTCGGAAGATTGGGGCCGAAATAAAAAAAAAATATCATGATTTTTTTGATTAGTCATTAAAGGGTCCCAAAGGGCTGAAATTTTTTTATTGAAATTCAATTTTAATCATTTGAATGATTGTCAACCATTTCAAGTTCCCTTCTTAATTAATAATTTATTATCAAAAAAATTTACTAATCATTATGCAAACACTATTACCGATTAGTAAGTCTATCAGTTACTTTACTGCGCTGTGGCGTGGCGACCTCATGGGCGAAATATTTTTAATGAACTATTTTCGATGTAAATGAACTTGTTTTGTTTACCTTATTTATCTTAAACAATGATCTTTTTTCAATTTATTTTTAAAGAAAAATCATTCGGTTTCTAAAAGAAGTTTCCATCAAGAAATTGAAGTCTGATGAAAAAAGATTGAGTCAGATGAAAAAAATTGCATCAATCAAAAAATTGAACTAAAAAATTTTTTTTTCTTTTTTTTTTCAAATAAGTGTTTAAGAAAAATAACCAAATGAGTGAAAATAAAAAATAAAAAATAAAAAAAAATTTAAAAATAAAATTCGTAAAAATAAAGAGAGCCAAGAAATTACCAAGAAATTTCCAAGGAACTACCAAGAAATTTCCAAGAAATCTCAAGAAATCTTCAAGTAATTCTTTCAAGAAATTCTAGATTTTTTTTTTTTTTTTTGAAATGGAGTAATAAAGTAAAAGTTTTTAAAAAAAAAAAATCATTTGAAAATAAAGCATTATAAAACAAAGCATTTTAAAACAAAGCATTTTAAAATAAAAGCATTTGAAAGTAAAAGTTTTTAAAAAAAATTCATTTGAAAAAATTCATTTGAAAAAAATTCATTTGAAAAATTCATTTATTTTAAAAATTAAAATTCATTTTATTTTTAGAATCAGACACGTTAATGGTTGATGAATTATGACATTATGCCCATTATGACATTATGACATTATGACATTCTTTTTTTTTTATTTGTTTTTTGCTTTTCAACTTGCTTTCAGTTTTATCGTAAAAGGATTGACGAAAAAAAAAAAAAAAAGGATTGATA